AATATTACAAAATATGTACTATGTGATTTTGTAGAAAGAATAATCGAACATGAATTTGTATTACTTGATAAATTAATCTAAAATAAGTTTATTAATTAATAATATAATATAATAAATACAGATTAATAAATAAAATAAAATTAAAATACCGGTTCATTTTTAAATAATTTATTAAATAAAATTGAATCTATATCTTTTTTTAATGGTTAAAAAAAATGTTTTCCTTTTTCTTTTTTCCACCAGTGGCTACAACCAATAAACTATTTATCTGTTGCATTTGAAATATTTTTTAAACGTTTTTGTACTATAAAATTACTATAGTATTTTGTTCATTATAAGAATATTTTATTTCTTTTATTGCAAGAAATTTCTATTAAAATTTAATAAACAAATAAATTAAATTAAAAATATAATATATTATATAAATATAAATTAAATTTTAGTTGTTTACGTATATGTTTTGGCCTCTTTTGTTTTTTGTAAAAGTGAAATTTTATCATTTTGTTGAATAAAATCCTTGCTTATATCAACTTCAGTATGATTTGAGTTTTTAATTAAATTATCTAAGAACATACAATATTTTACATCTGTACATATTTTGTAATATTTTTTTACAATACAATTTAAAAAAAGATTTCAAATTGCCTTTCACCTCCACCTATTGGTTTTCTGGTCATGTATTGCATCTTATTATAAAGTAAGTATTAATATAAAATATTAAGTTTAATTTTATAAATTTACTATATATTAAATAAGATTACTTATATTTTCAAATACTGCTTCATATGATTCACAATTTTCTATATTATAACAAATTACAATACCTTTAGATGATGTAGGTAGATATTCTATAGGAAAAAGTGTGTGCCAAATTTTATTTACTCACAAGTTTTCTGTTATTGAATAAATTTCATTATAACTAGCATCTTCAAGGTCATTATACTCAATATCCTCAATCTCATTATAATTAGTATCTTCAAGACTATTATAATCAACATCATCAATTTCATTATAATTGACATCTTTAGTTTCATTATAATCAGTGTCTTTAATTTCACTATACTCCATATTATTGATTTCATTATACCGATTATCTTTGATTTCATTATACTTATTATCTTCGATTACATTATACTCATTATCTTTTATTTCATTATAATTAATCTTTGCCAATTCATTTTAAAAATATTTAGATTAATTATAAATATATTTTAAACAAATACACAAATTAACTATTAAATTTTTTATATAAGTTATACTAACTTCAGACTCATTATTATATAAACTTTCAGAATTTAATGGATTCGATGTTAAATTAATTAGTGATACTTTATCAAATTCATTTTTGAAATTCGGATAACTTTTTTCAATATATAAATTCTCATCATTAGATTGTATTTTGATAATTATATTCTTTAAAATTCAATCAAATGATATTTAATTAATGATTATAAAAAATATTTAGAAATCAAATAATTTAAAATATTCAAAAAAAACTCTTTCCGATGATCACTTGTACCAACTATTTACCAAATACAAGTTGAAGACTCAAGACCAAAAGTCAATACCAACCTTAGGTTTTCTTGATACAAACTGTTGTCAACGAAGTCTTTTAACATAATATACCAAGGAGCGGGCGTTCTGGACAGTTTGTACAAGGGTCAAGCCTTGTTCTCTTCTTCTTGCCTCAGGTGGACTCCCTTGTGTATTTGGCATCCAAACCGGAGAAGTCTCTGAGAATAGCAAGTAAAAAGAAAAACTAAGTTTGTTTGATGATGGAAGGTGGTGAAGAACAACTGGAAAAACATTCTTGAGTTAGATACTCACAATATCTATATTTTTTTCTCCTTCGATATTTTGGCCACAATTTTTGACAAAAAATGGGGAATTCAGCAAACTCTCTACCAAAGATCGACAATGTTTACCACTTCTATATTGGAAAACTATATGATGACAAAACAACACGTGTAAAATGGATGGTGCAAGCGAATGAAGTAACTGGATCAGGTACCCAAAAGAGCACTTTATGTAGCATGTTGTTTTTAGAATATACAAACACATATGATATAGGTGTGGAGCTTCAAAGTTCTTATATACTTTTGGATGACGATATAGATTTACTATGGAAAGAAGAAGCAAAGTGAAATGAGATATACAGACATTTCTATAGTCATATATATATAATTTTTATCCTCAAGCATGAGTTATAGTGCATGTTAGTTTTTCTCTTTTTTTTTGATATGTTAAGTTTCTTGCAACAAGTTAATATAAGTAGTTCATTACTCTGTATAAATGAAGTTTTTACCTGGTTAGCAGGTTTTTTTTATTCTAGCGATAATTTCTTATAGATTTTTAGTTTAGTTATTAGACTCCTTTTACATTAGTACCCGTTTTCATATATGTATTTGTTTTTGTTTTTTCCTTTTTGTTTTGTTCAAATTTTTTTTTCTTTTTTTTTCCTATGAGAAAGTGTCATCAGATTGGCGGTATTCTATTGTAGAGCGGGAATCTTGATAAGGCTCGCAAACTACCAGTTGAGGATTCTGGAGAAAAAAAGTCTGAAGCAAGTTTCAGACCTCTGGAGGAGGCCAAGGGTTTGCTCAGGCAGATCGACTTGGGCATATAGCAAGCAGTTTAATGGTTTGCCCTGACTGCAAGTGGAAACCTCAGCAACTGCGTGGCTAGCTTGAATAGTTTAGCTTCTGTTTTAAGAATAATGGATTCTGGAGTTAGTATATATCTCATATTTACAAAGTTTCTTCTCACAAAATAAAGCAAACAGATTGCCTTAAGAACAAATAATTTAAAATATTTACTTATTTTTGATCTTCGAATTAAAAAAATCAATAGATCATATAAAACGATTAAGAAAATAAAAGTAATTTTTTATTATATATATGCTTATATATAAATTTCTGCATTACGAATTTTAATTTAATCAAAAACTTATCAATCATATTCATACTTAATAGTTTATATAACTTTTTTATATATTAATAATTAGTTATATATATTACAATATATATATATTAAAATCAAATTTTTTAATATTTACATTTTTTAATAATAAGAAATATTCTTTAAATTAATTATAATATGCAATCATATTTGATATTCTAATTTTAAAATTTTGGGTACTTAAGATATCAATTAAAAAAATAATACCAAAGAATCTTTTTTTTTATTGTCTTGATTTTTTCACTTTTCAGATACATTCTTGCATCTGGTAGTATACTTATACTATGTGTTGTTATTCAAAAAATTTTTAACCTTACAAATTGATATCTTCCTGTCATACATACATACGTAATACAAAAATTAACTACTGATTATTAGTCTATTAGATATGTATATACATATGTACGTATGTATGATACTGTATTATATACTATGCATAATTTAAAAGTAAACTATACTCTACATTATACATAGACTCAATTATAAAACCATATAATCTTAAAGGATTAGTAGAAAAAGTTATAAAATTTATATCTTATTTTTAAATATTATTAAAAAAAATTATTTAAATATATATATATTTTTTTAAAAAAAAGAGCAAAGTCATCACTATATAGCCAAGACCCTGAATCTAACTAGTTTATTGTAAACTATTTATATATACATATAATTAATCTATAATCTGACTTACTTATCACTATAATTTCTTGATAACAAAGTTGCCAAGTCTTAATAGAAAACCCACTTCTTTGTCTCAACAAAGGACTGGCAGTTCTTAGTCGATAAACCCAGTATGAACCCTCTATATCACTGACCGATATGTATTATCTAAAGTCTAATCCTAGTCTATACTAATATATGTTCTAAGACTAAACAGAAAAAAAAAGAATAATGTGCTACAATTTGCACAAAGGCATAAAAATTATATATCTGGTGACTTTATAATATATCTCTAAAACTACTTGTTATAACAATACTATTATTTTCAAAAGACTACAAATATATTATCTTTAAAAACAGACTATTCTGTACTATAATCTTTTTAAATCTTCTACATATCACAATACAACCATATTCTATTTTAAAAAGATAAACAAGATAATCTTTTAGTCATAGTAAACTAGTGCTTCTGACTATATATGCCACCAAAATAGGTTTTCAAAAAAACCTTATTTCATCTCCATTAGAGCAATTTAAAATTTTTTATATGCAAGAGCAAATCTAATTTAGGTAGTTATATTCTTTATAATTTCGTCTCTTCAAAAAAAAATGTCAAAAAATTTTGTCTTTTAAGGGTAAGGTGTACGTAGATCATTTTTCATATGATCTGCATGGTAGATTAGATTTTTATATAGTAAAAAAAAAATACTTCTGATAAATCTTTTTAAAATCTTAGTTAATTTTTATCAAATTTAAATGGTATGTAGTTTAAACCAGCTTGTTTATGCTAGTGAAGTTTTGGGATATACATTGCTTTAAAAAAAATAAACTTCACATATGATTAAAGTTTCTGGGGTTGCTATATGTTTTTCTGGAGTTACACAAGAAATTGCTAATTCTAATTGGTCAAATCATATGATGTTTACATGTAAATCATATGATATCATATAAAATTGGTTACACAAGTTGATCTACAATCTATTTTATATGAAATTAGAAATTTGTACACCCTATCCTTAAGTAAAATAGATCAAAACCAATTTTGTTTTCAAATTTAATTTTGTACCCTGAAATCTAAAATAATTTTGTCAGCATGTATACTTTTGACAAAAATTTCACCAAAATATTAACAATAGTAAAAAAGAAAAAAAACTAGGGTTTGTGAGATACTAGCTATAAAGAGTATTTTTCTAGTTGTCTTATCTTGTTCTTTTTTGCTTTACTATTCTAAAGTTTTCTTTTGATAAATTGTTACTAAAATAACCTTTCTAGCTTGAATATTGAATGTAGAAAAAGTTTACTGAAGAATAAGCTTGACCCAGACTACAAACTGCTTCTCTATTGCTTGCTTCTTAATATATCATGATAGAGGCTTCGTCAACAATAACAAAAAGAAAAACTTAGATAGTTTTAGATATCAGGCTTTGAGTTTTTTAACTTGAGTTAGGTGGGAATAGTTGGTCCAAATGATTATCAGAAGAGTTAATTAAAATTATTTTTTTTTAGTATTAAGATAAGGTCTTGTTTTATATCTTTATTTATATATTTATTAAATATTTACCTTATATAGCTACATATCTATCTTAAGAATACAAACTTAGCCAATTTTTATCTATAACCTAAACCTACTAGAGTATGCTACGTTCTTATTATGTATTGGGTTATACCTAGATTTAGTATTCAGATTATATCTAGTTACCCACTGCATTCACCCCATATCTTACTGTCAAATCTTGGTAACTCCCAAATTGATTTATTTAGATAATTGGTCCTTAATGATCTCCCAATTTGGTATATCTGTTATTCGAAGTATTTTCTAAACTGGTATACTCCTTCTAATAGGTGGCCTCTTATTCATGTTTCTCAAGCCAGATACTTGCTGCTGCTACTAGTCCTATATAAGAAGTATTGATATCATATATTAAAAAGGGGACTTATTGTAAGTTTGCACTACTCAGTATATATAATACCTCTATTAAAGTGGTTATATCATATTATCTGCTAGCTTGTATTCCTTCATACAACTTAATATTATATAAATGCTCCAAATCTCCTACTTGTATTCTCAGATATACTAGCCTTGTATCTCAGTTAATTAAAATTGTATGCTAGTTTTGTGTTATTTAAATATATTAAAATTTAAAAAAAGTAAATCATAAATATATTTATAGTAATTTTCTAAACAAATTTGCTTGAAAAGGTTTGTAGTTTAAAGAATGGTATAATACAATATGATACAATTTGATTTCTTGACAAAATATTTATTATAAAGGTATTTTATTAATAAAGTATTGAATATTTAGTTTTTTTTAGTTTATTTATATCTAAAAATTTTAGTTTTATACTACTATTCTATATAAATACTTGTATAATATCAATTTTAGAAATTATTAGATTCTATACTAGATTTATACTATCATATTTATTGAAACAAACAAAAATTTGTATTA